TGTAAATATTTGGCACTTGTTAATGCAAATGTTTTGTACTTGTTAATCTAAATGTGCTGAACCTTGTTAATGTAAATGTTTTGTACTTGTTAATGCAAATGTTTTGTACTTGTTAATCTAAATGTGCTGAACCTTGTTAATGAAAATGTTTTGTACTTGTTAATGCAAATGTTTTGTACTTGTTAATCTAAATGTGCTGAACCTTGTTATAGTAAATGTGTTGAACCTTGTTAATGTAAATGTTTTGTACTTATTAATGTAAATGTGCTGAACCTTGTTATAGTAAATGTGTTGAACCTTGTTATAGTAAATGTGTTGAACCTTGTTAATGCAAATGTTTTGTACTTATTAATGTAAATGTGCTGAACCTTGTTATAGTAAATGTGTTGAACCTTGTTAATGCAAATGTTTTGTACTTGTTAATGTAAATGTGCTGAACCTTGTTAATTTAAATGTTTGGTACTTGTTAATGCAAATGTTTTGTACTTGTTAATCTAAATGTGCTGAACCTTGTTAATGAAAATGTTTTGTACTTGTTAATGCAAATGTTTTGTACTTGTTAATCTAAATGTGCTGAACCTTGTTATAGTAAATGTGTTGAACCTTGTTAATGTAAATGTTTTGTACTTATTAATGTAAATGTGCTGAACCTTGTTATAGTAAATGTGTTGAACCTTGTTATAGTAAATGTGTTGAACCTTGTTAATGCAAATGTTTTGTACTTATTAAAGTAAATGTGTTGAACCTTGTTATAGTAAATGTGTTGAACCTTGTTAATGTAAATGTTTTGTACTTATTAATGTAAATGTGCTGAACCTTGTTATAGTAAATGTGTTGAACCTTGTTATAGTAAATGTGTTTAACCTTGTTAATGTAAATGTTTTGTACTTATTAATGTAAATGTGCTGAACCTTGTTATAGTAAATGTGTTGAACCTTGTTAATGTAAATGTTTTGTACTTATTAATGTAAATGTGCTGAACCTTGTTATAGTAAATGTGTTGAACCTTGTTAATGTAAATGTTTTGTACTTATTAATGTAAATGTGCTGAACCTTGTTATAGTAAATGTCTTGAACCTTGTTAATGTAAATGTTTTGTACTTGTTAATGTAAATCTACTGTTCTTATGAATGTAAATGTAAATTATAATAGTTAATGGTTGCTTTTAGTTTATAATCAATAAAATCGTGGAAATATAACAAGAATAATAAATTCGACCACAATATTTCAAAGTAACCTTATTAAATATTAATTAAGAACTTTTCAATGACCATTGTCATATCAATAATAATCAATACCATTATTTTATATTTTCTACTATCATTGTAGCCAGGTACCAGGGCATCAAGTTACTCTCCCAGAACAAGTTTGGCATTAAAACTAGCAAAGTTGTTTCCAAAATTGTTACATGCATTTCAGCTATCTATAATTCCTTAAAGTTAAATGGGTAGCTGAAATTAAGCTCTATCAGCTTGTAAAGCGAATATTAAATGGATTTATCTCTTAACCTGTTCCCAATAGACAAACATACATGTATGCAAATCCCTTTCAAGATGGGTTCCCTTATTTTCATTTATTGCTAATACTTATATGAATAGAAAGTAGAGGTGTTCTAATGACTTGGAAAAATACCAGTTTGTCTCACATGTCCATAATTAATTCATAATTAGCTAAATTAGAAGAGAATTACCAGCAGAATTTCAAAGAGTGGCCGATCAAGAAAGGTCAAAAAGTCTTTTTTTTGTTTATCCAGACTGTACATACATGGGCATTTATGATTGGTTAAAACTCATAATTCTATGCAATAAGAACATAATGATATGATTAAGAATACATGATAATTCATTAGAAACACCAATTAATCAAATAGTTTGCTTAATTTGACACTAAAAAATAAAGGAAACCCATCTTTAATTTAAGATTATATGAAAGGGCTGTTATTTGTTTAAATATCAAATTGCCTATCAATTCTTATATTATTTGAATAACGATTTTATTACGTCATTTTAAACCTAGTTTCATATCGTGGGTGACCGCTTGAAACCTTGTATATGTCATATTTGGTCATTTTGACTTTTTGGTATCGTTTGAAAGCTAGAAAAAGTGCGGATCTTGTGATCAAAACCTCGTATTCTTAGCTTGATTGTAAATAACTCAAAAAGCACTAATTAAATAACACGTATAAAAACAGTCAGATTTAAAACCTCGTAAAATATATTATTATACGAGGTTCAATGTTCCTTTTTCTGAGGATGAAAATGAAAAACCTTGTATACTGTATTATTATACAAGTTTTTGGTTCAATAGGCCGGAGATTTCAAATTGTTATACAAGGTTTATATTTTCAAGGAATGAAAACCACATATAGTGGCAAAAAAAATAATAAAAAAGATTTTAACAAAATACGCGTACAAATAGTTTTTTGCGTTTTTCTTGAAAAGTATTTCCGCGTCATATATCGTTATAAGAGGTTTCAAGCGGTCACCAACGATATACAACATTTCTATTAACCCAAAGACAATCTAAGACTCTCAAATCATTTATGAAGACTATTTTTCAGTTCATAAAAAAATAGCAATGTGGTTGAAGAGTAAGAACAGTATATAATAGGATTCATTAAGAATTCTCATTTTTCATACCACAAAACCCTCAAAATACTAAATGCTGACTGAAAACATAGGGATTAGCAGCTTTGAATTAATATATCAGAAATTTAAAAGGATATAAATGGACGCACTCTGACAGCAACTTTAACATTCTCAGCCATCTTGGAATTTTCAGCAGTATTCTCTATAAATGTTAATCAAATCCACTTTATTTTCCAAGATCTTCAAGTCCTTATTAGTCTTCAACACATTTAAACAAAACACTGGTCTTTGACACTGCACACAACTTAAATGTGCCCCTTTAAACACTAATGCCACTTAGAAAATCAATGTTGGCTAGCCTACTTCACTGCGTATATGTGTCTTAATTGTCGTTTCCATGTACCTTAATTAGGTGCAAGTATATTACAAGTTTTCACCTGTCAAACGTATTAATTGCTACAAATACTTTTTCACAAAGCTCTAGACTGTATTGTGTGAGAGAAATAAATTTGTTCTCCTTTAAGCCTCTTAATTGCGCTATTGTTCATAAACAAATTATCTAAACCGTGTTTATTGTTTACGTTGCCATAGCAACTGTCATTATCTGGGTGCGACTATAAACTCACCTGTACACAGTATAATTTATACAGGTAAATCTTTTCATTCGAAATCAAACAAATTTACCCTTTGTACACAACCAATTATATAAAATATGTTGGTAATAGATACACTCATTGATAGACCTTAAAGATGGGTTTCCTTGTTTTTTAGTGTCAAATTAAGCAAACTATTTGATTAATTGGTATTTCTAATGAATTATCATGTATTCTTAATCATACCTAACTTTGCTTATTGCATATAATTAAGAGTTTTAACCAATCATAAATGTCAATGTTAGTACAGTCTGGATAAACAAAAAAAGACTTTTTGACCTTTCTTGATCGGTCACTCATTGGAATTCTGCTGGTAATTCTCTTCTATTTTAGCTAATTATGAATTAATTATGGACATGTGAGACAAACTGGTATTTTTCCAAGTCATTACAACACCTCTACTTTCTATTCATATAAGTATTAGCATTTTCATTTTCATAAATGAAAATAAGGGAACCTATCTTTACAGGTAAAATCTTTGGGAAAGTAAATCTCTCATGAAGCCTAGGCCTAGGCCCTATAAACTCAAGGGAAAGCGAGTTAATTATAATTGTTGAAATGTAAAATTAAATGTGTTTGGTTAGTTTTCACTCACAGTACTAAACTTACAGCCAGTTAAAGTTACACCTCACTGCTTCTATTTCTTAATTATATTTTCCTCTGTCTCTGAGCTTTTATCACCTCAGACTTTCTAATTCCCCCTGTCAGTGATGCAAGTAAGCGAGGGGCTGAAATGGAAAAAGCGTCTAGTCGTTCGGATGGGACACTAAACCGAGGCCCCGTGTGCTACAGGCTGTGCACGTTAAAGATCCCTCGACAGTTGGAAATCGAAAAAGAGCAGGCTAATGCCGCTGTCCTGGCAAAATTTCCCTCATGGCACCCTGCATGACGTTGCCCGTCTTCATTAGCCCACATGGTGCAGAAAAGTAGGACGTAAAACTCCATTCATTTCATTTAATTAGTGTTTTGGCTTGACAACCTTGTTGTCAGTCAGTCTTTAATGTTTCTGATATGAGTGTTTTTGGTCAAGGTAGGCCTATAGTATATTGTATAATTATTGTTTATCTTGGTTACCAACTGTCAGCTATCTTGGCTTCATGTTTGCTATAGCTTTGTAAACAATATGCTATTACATTAAAGTGATACTCTGTCTTAGAATGAACATAAAATTTAAGTTCTCGAAATGGTCAATATGAGTATATATTCATCAGTGAACTTACCTGGTGTCATAAAGTTACAACAGAATCCCTGTAAAATCTAGAAAATTGGAAAATTCATAAAACTAAGTAATTATTGAAAAACGCTTAATCTTGATATTAAGCATTTTTCAATAGTTAATTGCATATTTATGGATAATTACTAAGTTTTTTGGATTTATCAGATTATATAAGGATCCTGTTATGTTATTTATGACACCAGGTATATCTACTGGCTCTTATTCGCCAAGTTTAAAATTCTTAAATTCTATGTTAATTCTAAGACGTAGTATCACTTTAAGGTTTAGTCTACAGTTACATTCAATACCACCATTTAATCATTCCATCGTATCACGAATACGAGTTTTGACATGGTCTTATTTCCCTGAGGAAGTATGACGAATGGGGGTGTGGTTTGGACACGATGTATTTAATCATTCCTGCATTAGGCTACCCATAAAAAGGACTCACTCCACTAAAACATTTTATGTTACCCCTTTTGGAGTTTTTGCATGCCTATTTTTGAGTAATTTTGGTCTAGATTTGGAATTTGATGTCTGAAATTGCATTAATGCATTGAAATGGTACCATTATCTCCAGGCTTGTATCTAGAAAATGCCTGAGGAGGGGGTCAAAAATGAAAGCTTTCTCCCCTAGGCGTGATCTGATGAATCAGATGAATTTTGCTCATATAAAGATGGGTTCCCTCATTTTCATTAATGAAAATGAAAATGCTAATACTTATATGAATAGAAAGTAGTGGTGTTTTAATGACTTGGAAAAATACCAGTTTGTTTCGCATGTCCATAATTAATTCATAATTAGCTAAATTAGAAGAGAATTACCAGCAGAATTCCAATGAGTGACCTATCAAGAAAGGTCAAAAAGTATTTTTTTGTTTATCCAGACTGTACATACATGAACATTTATGATTGGTTAAAACTTAAATTATATGTAATATAAGAAAATAATGATATGATTAAGAATACATGATAAATTCATTAGAAACACCAATTAATCAAATAGTTTGCTTAATTTGACACTAAAAAATAAGGAAACCCATCTA